CCCCAAAACCCCAAAACCCCTCAATGCAAGAATAATACATTCATATAAAAAAGTGAGATTAATTAGCATGTCTAAATAAAATAAAAGTTAAATGGAATTATTCAAATAGCCATAATCCTCTGTTAATTCCCAATACAAGCAATAGCCATCATCTTAGATTTCGCATTCAAATTTCTAGAAGTCAACTAGAGGAGTTGGATCAATAGATTCAAGTTCCAATTTAAATTTCCAGTTTCATCTCCAATCTCAATAGAGTAAGGCTCAACTAGATCCTAACAAGATGTCATATCAGAACCTACCCTAAACTAAGTCTCAGATTCCTCAGTTAAACCATCTTTTGAATCCAGCAAGCCCACCTATAAGTTAGCGAGCTAGCTTGTTTAATAACTCATATTTGAACTCAAATCCAACTTAAAGACATGCTAATTTTCAAGGAAGTTTTGCTTAGAATAAACAGAATGATTCTGCTTTGGGAATGATTGCTGTTGAATAAGATAGATTTAACAACTTAGTTCATCTGTCTAGTGGCTTCCCGATTGCTGATATTGAGTATAATGGAGAAATCTTATAGAGAATTCCAGCTCAAATCATCAGATTAAGATCAAAGTAAATCGATAGCTACTTCAAATCAAACCCTATTTATCTGAATAATTACTCGCACAAAGCTACAATTCAAGATGCGCAAATGATTACTGATAATTATAGAAATTCTTATTAATAATCTGCTTCTAAAAAATCTTTCGCAATCACTGGAGGCCTATAAGTATTAATGAGTGACGAGCCCAAGACCTTGAATTCTATTTAGAGGCAAATTAACACATATAATGGCTAAGCTAAAAAGGTGACGCCAAGTATGACTAAAGAATAAATAGAAATGATTCTTATTCAGAACAGACTATAAAAGAACTCTTCGTAGCTAAAGCGAAATTCAGTAAATATTGAGTCAAAGAGTAAATTTTATCAAAACCTTTTTCACAAAAAGTAAAATTTAACAGCTAGACAAGAATAAAAGGTTTGCTATGACGAGATATAGAGTATAACTGAATCAATTCAAACAAGTTTGAATGGAGATGATGACGAGGAATATCATGACATAACAAGTGGAGGTGGGGAAATAAATACTCCTCACATTTAATTGGAAGATAATCAAGATCAAGATGATCTTTCTTACTACGAAAGATATATAGGCGACAATACCAGTCCAATCCCAACTAGGCCTGCTTAAGATAATAGTGTTAGCTATTCACAAATAGATGACAGAGAAAACATGACTAGATTAAAAAATGATATAAGCTCAGTTCTTAAATCTTCAGATTTGATGAATTCTTAAAACTAAATATAGTAGCTGCCACCCCCACCATATAAATAATCTAAAACTATAAATATGACAAAAGGATCAGATGCTTCTCTAACTCCTCACTATTTTTATATTGATCTAAATAAGGACGGAAAAGAAGATGATAATGAATTAAATGAAAAGCTCAAGTCTTATTTCTAGATGAAATTTCAATAAAAAAAGCAAGAAGAGTTAGCTATGATATCAAGATCTCTTATTAGAAATGAAGAATTATCCCCACCCCAAAATAATCCATTAAATAGGGTTTAATAGTCCTCAGGATTCTTTGGCTCTGGCCTTATGTCAGCCGAATTATCTCCTAAAAGTGGAAATGAACTTATGCACTAAAAGAATAAACACAGTGATAGATTAAACTCTTAAAAAATTCCAGTGTCTAATTTATAAGATGTAAGTCCTGATTTAGGTCGTACAAATAGAAAGGATTTTTAATTGTCTTAGCTATAGAATAACTTGCTCTCACCTTTAGCAGATAGTAAGAATAACAAAAGTAAAGATATGAATACTTAAGCTAGTGATCATTTGTAAAGTACCCAAGTCTAGAAAATAGATAAAAAGAAAAAGCAAGCAGCTCACACTATGATGAAGGAGCCTATTAAATCTCCAAACTAAGAAATTATACCAGCTGTTAAAAAGGAGTCTAATAAATAAATTTTAAATTTCAATAGCAGTGTCTAATCTAGTAAGCCATTGAATAAACCTCAGGAATATATATAAGATTTTAAATAAGTAAAACATCAGAAGAATGTAGAAATATACAACAGCCTAGACAATGAAAAAAATAAATCAGTCTCATCTAGTTACTATGAAAATAAGCTATAAAAAAATCAAAAGAAATTGACTATTGAGGATCTAGAGAATGAAGATGAAAGTTCTAATCAAGATTTTGGAAGTCAGGGATAAACTCCCAAGACTATGTACCATCATCATACTAAGATGACAAGAAATAATCTTAAATCTACAAACTAACTAGGCTTTCACAAATCCCTAGATCAAAGTAAGCAAGCGTAATAATAACATGCATTATCATAAAAAGTATCTCCTACAAGACCTAATTAAGCCCTTTATGATGAAATCTATAAAACTTTATTGGATAATGAGTAGAAAGAAAAGTCTTTGACTAATAAAATAAAAGATTTCTTTATAACTCCTCTTAAAATTTACAACATAAATCTCTTTGGAGGAAATGATCGAGATAGAAACAATAAACTTGGCTAGAATTTGTCATTGCCAAGGCCATCATAAAATAATCAGCATCATCCTGTTTCAACTTAGAATAATCAATGGAGGCTATCTGCTTAAAGTTAAAATGTGAGCGTCAAGTCAGCACCATAAAAGTCTCAAACTGAGGAAAGAGTTGTGTTTTAGAAACTATGCTTTTTGAAGTTGGAATCAGATATTAGACAGTTTGTTGAAATCCAAATAGCGCTAACATAGAATTTCATTTTGGTATATCAGGTTTCTGATAAAAATATCAAGTTGGCTAATAGGCCATTATTTGAGATTCAAAGGCAAAATGTTTAAAAAGATGTATTGAAATACAACTAAGAAGCTTATGAGGGAAATTAAACCACAAAGCAAAATAAGCGGTTCATCTGTAAAGCCTTTTAAGCTCTAAATAATAACATAATCAAGCTAAAATTCAATGAGAAGATCGATGTGAAATCCAACCATCTAAAAATAACGAATTAAATTAGTACCTTACAAGATTAATGTATATCTAACTTCCTAATCAAAAGCCAGTAAGACGAGAAGATATTCTAAAAGTTGAATTAAATGTTCAAAAAAACAAAGTTTGTTGAAGAGATTACGTTCGCTTTCAACTAGAAAAGTGAAAGAGATTAATTCTTCAAGCTAATTTAATACATATGAATTCAAGAAATTAAGCAAATCTAGTGCATTAATTCTAAGAAATCCTAATTATGCAGATATATTTATAACCTTAAGTTCTGTAATTTACTTTTATAAATAAAAATTATATCTAATTTGATCATGAAATTGGTTTTGAGGGGTTTTGGGGTTTTGGGG